CGAATGAAGATAAAAGGGGAATCAATTCTCAACTCAGCAAACTCCAATACAAACGGTTGACATGTGAAACATTTGCAAGTGATAAGATCGAAGACTTTGATTAGGTCCGTCTTTGATTAATGACAAGCTAAGTTCCACAAATGCTAGAAAATGGAGAAATTTATTTTGAAATTGTCTTGACTCATACGTCCATACGCCATATATATTCTTTCCTTAATTTTAATCCTATTCCGGAATTTACTTACGCTCATGCCTTATCACCTGTTATGGATTTTTTTTCCTTCATTCCTTTTTAATGAGAAGGCTTCCCCGAAAATGTTAGAAAAGCCAGGAGAAAGTGTGATCAACTTCAAGTTAGCATTGCCAGGACTCGTGACTCACTGTAGACCAAGTTTTTCTGGTTTTTTTTTTGTTGGTATAACTAAGAATATCCTCAAGTTACTTTGGACTTAAAACTAATTGCCGTCAAACTCGAAATGTTGAGAGTGAGACCGCTTATTTTCTCGACCAACAGCTTGTTAGTAGTTTTTCTGGATCTTTGTTTAACTTGAATCTTGCATATTTATTTTCTTATAGTTTATGGAATGGCCTTGTTTATGTGGTTTTTGGGCGCATGTCCAAACATTTATGTTTGTGACTTGTGTGTTTTAATGTAATTAAATATGTATACTCTTTCATCATTTAACATAAGACACTTTTGCATTTAACATAGGACACATTTTGCATGTCTGGCTTGATTTTTAATATATAAAATATTTTATAAATTTTAGGTAAGCGTTTATGATTTATTTCCTAGATTACCCACGTATCTAATGATTCATTTAGATAGGATACTTGACTTAGAGGTTCCAAGGCACAAGTTAACAGTTTTAGTTTACAAATATTATAATGATTTAAAAAAAAATCAAATCTCTTCAACTAGTTTTAATCATATTTCTTAATTTAATATATGATTCGGTTAAACTGGCCTAAATATACTATTATTAGTATGGATTGGTTTTCAGAAGCGTTTGCAAAAGGAGCAGGTTGGAAAGTGCAGATCCTTGCATAGCATATGTCAAAATACATTACCCACACCAATTGAACAGAGGTAGACAGCAAGTAATAAATGAATAGTTCAAAGCTGCTCAATAGATGGCCTCTTGAAAGAGACCAAACAAAGATGCATTGTGAAAGTAGTGTGTTTCCGTTGTCCTATCTCTTTTCACTGTTTTGTTCAGTAAATATATGTACGTTCATCGATGCCCCTACCAAGTTATATAAACATTATTGCTCTGTTAGTCCTGGCCACTGTCTACCCTTAAATGGGGAAAATGTTAAATTTGTTTTATAAATGCTTCTCAAGAGAACGACTATGTGACTAATGGGGGTTTATACCCTGCAACTGATGAAGTGATGAAATTAACATGCGCATTATAAAGGCTTCTGACATAAGTACAGTACTCGGTGAGAACTATTTTTAACACACACATATATACTGTATGTATTTTATTTACAATTTTTTTGGCGTACAGTAGTTCTAGGTGGAAAAAAAAACCATATTAAGAAAAATCTTTGCCATTCAAGCAGAAAAGATAGATCGATCATGGTGGTTGGGTTTATATAATCTTATCAATGAGGATTCAAGACGACTATTGCTTATAAGATCATTTATATCATTCTTTTTCCAAATGTTCCCATTGCAAATCGTAATCACTGGAAGAAACTGAGCAGGTTTCTTCGTCTTTCAAAATTGTAACCATTGTACCCAACAAACTGCTAGAAACAAAATTGAAATCTGGAATGTGAAGACATAGTCAGAGACAGGAAATTATGATATTATTATTATAGGTTGGTTTTCAAAAGCCCGTGCAAAGGCCAAAGGTTGAAAACCACAATAAAGCATACATACTGATTTATCATAATTCAGTACATGGACCATCTCAGTATAGGGTAACACACCAAACACAACGACATAAACTGAATTGACACTGTAAATTTCTTAATATAAGAAAAGAAGCCAAAACATGGAGTGAAGTAAGAGATGGTAGGCATGCAAAGCTGCTACCTAATAGTAGTAAGGAGGTGGTGGTGAGGGGCTGTGGGGTGGCGGATAGACAGGGGATGGGGTAGGGGAGGAGGAGGAGGAGGAGTGGGGTGCACTGGAGGCGGAGGCGATGGAGAAAGTGGCGGAGGAGAGTTAGGCGTTGGTGGAGGAGGAGGAGGAGTATATAAAGGGCTTGGTGATGGAGAAGGAGAAGGCGGAGGAGAGTGAGGCACCGGTGGAGGTGGCACGGAAATTGGCGGTGGAGGAGGAGGATGGTGCTTGGGAGGACGAGGAGGACGAGGGTGGACTGGCCTTTGTGTGTATGGGGAGACGTAGGGGTCAGCGCCTACTTGAAAAGGCAAGCTCAAAGACATTAAAGCCATTACAAGAGTCAGAGAGGCCATTAGAGATCCCATTCTTGCTTTTCAGATGGGCTTTGGACTTGCTTCTTCAATAGCAAGAGTTTCCCTTTATATAGCTTCTTTGTGTATAGGTTTTAACCCACCAGCAATTTATCATATCTGGAAAAGTTTACTTTGAACTAACAGGAAATGATTACCTTGTAGGGCCACCGGACTTCTCCGTGATTGGAGGCCAATGAATTCGAACCTAACATTTCAGAAATTTTCAGCATATATGAAAAGAGATAGAGCCACCGGACTTCTTCGTTATGCGCTTACGACTGAATATATATATCTCAAATGTTTATTTGCCAATAAACACGATTTACTTAAATCAGTGAAGACAAAAGGGGAACCACATTCTCAATATAGAAAACTTACAACCCACGTCTTTGATTAATGATAATGTTTTAAAGGGAGCTGTGTTCCAAAAAATGCTAGAAAATGAAGAAAGTTATTTTGAAATTGACTTGACTCACCATACGTCACATATATATACTCTTTCCTTAATTTGATTCCTATTGATGGCTTTATTTACTAATTTTATCAGGACGCTCATGCCTCACCTCCTGTTATGGATTTTCTTTTTCTTTTCTTAATGTGAAGACTATCTCCGAAAGGGCTTGAAAAACCAAGAGAAAGTGCGATCAACTTTAGCATTGTCATGAGTCATGACTCACTATACAGAGAGTTTTTATATTTGGATGTTCATTTAATTTGAATCGTGACCATTATTTTCTTATGTTTATGGAATGGGCTTGTTCATATAGTTTTTGGATGGATGTACATCTATGTCTGTGGCTCATGTTTTAATGTAATTAAATAATCTTTAGTATTTAATATAAGACGCCTTCTAGAAATTTGGCTTGATTTTTAACATATAAGATATTTTATGAAATGTATATTTCCTCAAATACCGTTGATCTGATAATTCTTTTCGTTAGGATGTTTGACTTCAAAGCTCAAAGGCACGAGTTTGCAATTTTAGTTTAGAAGGGTTATTATAATTTTTTTTAAAAAAAAATCAAAACTTTAAACTAATTTTAACCATATTTCTTAATTTATGTGATTCGGTTAATAGTATTTTATGCATACGAGAGAGAGAGAGAGAGAGTATTAAGTAGGGTTGATAATATTGCTTGCTACTTTGATGGTTAGTGTATGCTAATATTGCCAAGTTTGTTTGTTTGCGTGCATGAAGGGAAAGCTGCATGCAAAGCTTATAATATCTGTTTCTTAATATAAGATCTAGTATAATTTGAAAAAATTTAAAAATTATTAAATTATTTTAAAGTATTTATGTTTATCTTTTTTTTCTTATACTAATTTGTTTCACTTACAAATTGATATATAATATACTGATATATATGAGTATTTTAGAAAGATCATGTAACCTATGCTTTAATTATGTAATTTGACAATTTTTTTAATCTTTTTAAATTATTCAACTAGATTTTATGTTAAGGACCAATAATAATATTATTGAATAGAGTACAGTTGGCTTGCAAAAAAGGCACGAGGTTGGTAACTCGCAGGCTTAATAAGTACTGGCATTGATTGATTTATCTGTTGTTTTAGGATTGAACTGGCCTAAAAATGCTATTATTAGACATGGATTGGTTTTCAGAAGCGTGCGCAAAAGCATCAGACTGAATAGTGCAACCTTACATATGTAAAAATACAATACCCACACCACCAGTTAAATGGAAATAGACCCGAAGTAATAAATAAATACTTTAAGGTTGCTCAATAGATAGCCTCTTGACATAACAAAGATACATTGTGAATGTGAAGTGTTTCCCTGGTTCTACCTCTTTTCACTGTTTTGTTCAGTATATGTATGCATATATTCTTCGACTCCTACCAAGTTATACACGCATGATTTGCCCATGAGAACGAGCATGCATGTGACTAGCCCGTCCAACCCCCCCGGGGGGGGGGGTGTTACCTTAACAGATGAAGATGATGAAATTTAACATACACAATCTAAAGGCTTCTCGCATGTGTACATAATGTACTCGGTGAGGGCTATTTTGAACATGTATACATTTTTTGCATGTGTTTTATTTATATCTACTCTTATCAATGAGAAGTGTTGAAACAAGACTTTCTTATAAAGTGATTAATATACATAATATGAAGATATTGAAAATGGTTTCCTTTTTTGAAATGTCACCACTGCTTGTCGTAATCACTGGAAGAAGCTGAGCAGGTTTCTTCATCTTTCAATATTGTACTTTATTTCTACTTCAATATATTTTCATTGTACCCAACAGATTGGGAAAAAAACAAATTGAAATCTGGAATGTGAAGACATAGCAAGAGAGAGGAAATTATGATATTATTATTATTATTATTATAGGCTGGTTTTCAAAAGCCTGTGTGGGCAACAGGTTGAAAACCATTGTAAAGTATACATACTGATTTATCATAAGCGAGTACATGGACCATCTCAATATATAGTGCCACACCAAACACAACGATATAAACTGAATTGACACTGTAAATTTCTCAACATAAGAAAAGAAGCCAAAACATGGAGTGAAGTAAGAGATGGTAGGCATGCAAAGCTGCTATCTAATAGTAGTAAGGAGGAGGTGGTGAGGGGCTATGGGGTGGCGGATAGACAGGGGATGGGTAGGGGAAGGAGGAGGAGGAGGAGTGGGGTGCACTGGAGGCGGAGGCAATGGAGAAAGTGGCGGAGGAGAGTTAGGCGTTGGTGGAGGAGGAGGTGTATATGGAGGGCTTGGTGATGGAGAAGGAGAAGGCGAAGGAGAGTAAGGCACCGGTGGAGGTGGCACGGAAATTGGCGGTGGAGGAGGAGGATGGTGCTTGGGAGGACGAGGGTGGACTGGCCCTTGTGGGTATGGGGAGACGTAGGGGTCAGCCCATACTTGAAAAGGCAAGCTCAGAGACATGAAAGCCAATACAAGAGTGAGAGAAGTCATTAGCGATCCCATTCTTGCTTTTTAAATGGGCTTGGGATGTGTGCTTCTTCAAGATAGCAAGAGCTTCCCTTTATATAGCCTCTTTGTCTACCCATTTCACCCCACAAGTTATTGATCATATCTTGGAAAATCCACTTTGAACTGGTAGGAAATGATTGCACCTTGTAGAGCGATTAATGAATTCGAACCTAACATTTAAGAAATTTTCAACGTATATATGGAAAGAGATCGAGCTGAGAAATTGCGTTCAAGTTAATTATCTGTATTTTTTTTTTGTGCCAACAAGTTAATAATCAGTATCAAATCCAAAGAAACTAATATAATCGGGCATCGTACTATCTCCATTTTCAACAATAACGTTTGTTACTGAGGGTGACGGTTTTAAAGAAAACCATGATACACATGATGGAATAATATAATATACTTAAGGATACACTAGTTACGACTGAATATAAATGGAAACTGTTTATTTTGCAAAGAACACAATTTGAATAAATCTGTGTAGATGAATGAAAATAAAAGGGTAATCAATTCTTGGCATAGCAAACTTCGGACGCAAACCCTTATCACGCGGAACATTTGCAGATGATGAGATAGAAGAATTTATGATTAGGTATGTCTTTGATTAATGATAATAATTTAAGAGGACCTAGTTTCCAAAAATGCTAGAAAATGTTGAAAGTTATTTTGACATTGTCCTGACTCACCATATGTCATATGTCATATACGCTTATTTAACAGGCTGTCTTAATTAGAAAAAACTATTATTTTACCTTTAAAGATTAAAAAAAAAACTAACTTCAGTTCTTAATATGACATTCACTATAATCAAGAAATTGAACAAAGCTGATCTTATATTAAAGATAAAATAAAAAGTCTTATAATTTTGTATAGAGAAAATATATGTTTTTTCTAGCATTGATAAAAATAAGTGTAGTGGCAATAAAAGACTTTAGGTGAAGGACTTGATGGAGATGTCCCAAGAATATTGCAAACTAGTGATTTCACGAAGAATAACAAAACCTTACTAAACCAAAATCATCTCCTTGCCCTATGGACCTTCAATGTCAGGTTATGGACTTTTTGAGTGTACTTTGTGTTTGATGATCAATAATCATGGACAAGCCGTATTGAGAATGAATATTGGATTAGAAGCCATTAATAGGGCCCAATGTTTAACTGATTGTGGAGCCAATTATTAGAACACCCCTTGATTTTGAGAATTAAAGATTTAGAACTTCCACATGTATTTAATTGTAGTGATAATTTTTCAGACTTTGAAGTACTCTACTACGTGTCGTTTTAGTTTAATTAATGAGTATTATTGGAACTGCTGCGGAAAATTTCCACGGATCTCTCCTCGATTGGAGGCTGATTTGAGCTAACAATTTGAAAAAGTAAGAGATCGTGCTATGAAATTTGTTGCTCTCAGTTAGGATTGAGTACTATCATCAATTGAAATCAGGAATCTCTCAGAAGTTTCAACCATGTATGTTCATTACCGGCGTTGACTGTTCAAAAGAAAAGGACAGCCATGATGCAGATATTGGGTTAGTCATACAATCATCATCATACTTCCTCCTATCCTAATTATAATATCCCATTTTATAATTTATAAATGAGATCTTATAATTAAGACAAGAGATAGTATTATGCCTTACACACATATAAAAAAGACAACTAGACATCTCTATTACTTACTTAATTGGTTTAATTAATATACGTTATATTCCTCTGGTCTCAAATATAAAGCTCATTTTATAATGTAACTTATACTACAAAATGGGTTTTATATTTAGAACCGGAAGATTATTATGATTAAATTATGTAGAATCCCCTGTATAACTTTATATCATATGTAAATTTCCCTAACTTCTGAAAGCAATGATTAAAGCCAAAAACCAAAACAAAAAATGATTCAAATAGCCCCTGCTGGTACAAAACCAAGTAACGGTTTAACGCATGTATGGAAGGACATTAAAAATTATAATCATTTTATAAGATTAAAGATCAAACTTGAATTTTAAACTTAGAACGAATCGCTTTAATTATAAATCATGAGCTGTATATTTTATCTCAGATTTTATGTAATAATAAATGCAAAAAAAATCCGAAAGCCATTCAATTTTTTAGTAGTTAGTTACTGATTAACCTCATGTCATTTAATGGATTTATTCCCGAAATAACAGAAATTGAATAAGCCCGCGAAAATGAGACAAACGAAGACATATGGGCCCATTTGCAAGGGATAAGATGGAAGGACCTTTCGTACTTTTTTTTTTAAAAGAAAATTCTCAAGCGTCGAAAATTGTTAGGACGATGAAGATGGTGACGTTCCTGCGAATCACTGTTCTTTTTCCTTTATTTAATTTGAATCCCATATATTTATTTTAAATTTCACATCAACAAAAAATATCATATCTAAGATGTGAAAAAAACCAAAAAGAATGAGAAATGAAGAAAGTGTCTTATTTTATTGGATTAATATCTTTTTTAGTTCTTAAAATTCAAAACTAATGGTTTTTGTTATTGAAATTTGATTACATTTTGGTCCATCTAAAAATTTTCTGTGCTTGAAAGCTTATTTGAAAAATCAAAACCACATAGCTTAAATTTTGTGATCAAAACAAAAACAAAGTCAAATTTTAATAATTTATATGATAGAGAGATGAGATATTTTTGTCGTATTTATAGGGTAGTGGGAGAAATCTATTATATAAATATATAATTTTATCTTTCATTTATTATTGTGTTAATTTTGTCTATATAAAATATAATATATCTTAAATAGGAATAAAATTAATTTTTTAGATTTTAAATAAAAATTAATAATGTTTAAGATTTTTCCGTAAAAGATGGTGAAAGTTATTTATAAATAAATAAGAATAATATACATGATAATTATAAGCATAGGTTGGCACTTGGCACCAAAAAGATTTGGTGACGCCTTTTGGGCTTCTCGTGAGGACATCCAAAGTCAACGTTCTGCAGTTTGATGCTAATAATTAATTGAAAATATCCACGAATTGCAGAGTTTAAGAGCTTTGCATGATTTAGTTAGTACGACTTAGGGTCAGGGATAAGTATTTGCATTTTACCTTAATGGTTAATTTTTCGTGCACATATATTTGTTATTATTTCCAGTTCTCGTTTGTAATATTTTATTACGAAGTAAATGCCCACACAATGCATGTGTCAATGGGTTAGAACCCAAGTACGCGTCTGTCGACATTCTAGTTATTATTAATTATAACAACTAAAAAAATGACAAAGAAATAATACAACATTTCGTAATGAATAATAATAATAATAATCACTAAAGCTAAACATTTTACTTATATGACACCTTCTTATGTTTTAGTGGGCATATATTTCTCCTTCATTAATGTCTCAAATTCAAGTATATTGAATAGCTTTTCTTCGCTTATCTAGGCTGAATTCTCCTGCGTAGCAATTGGCCTGTTCATGCTCTGGAAAAGGAATTTTTAATATTGCATAAATTATGAGATATGTAATACTTATTACATTTTTACAATTATTACCTAACAGTACATGCAACTTTTATATTATTTTTTGGCCTGACATGCAATTTTTTATTACTATATATTTATTTACAAGGCACTAGTAACATCTTCAATATTCTTCACATACGAGCGAGGTCGTCACAGAGGCAGAGATTGATGGGGAATATTATGAATTTATTTGCTTTTCAGAAACCTGCTGTGAGAAGGCAGCAGGATGAAAACTGCGCAAAGTATATGCATGCATGTGCCATTGATTAAAAAGGAACGAGTACATGTGGACCATCTCGGTGCAGCTCCTGACAGCTTTAAATAAATACGGCACTCACGCCAAAGAAGAAAAAGACACAATTTAAATTGACACTTTATTTTCTGATGAATATTTATATATAAAACATCATTTCTGAATTAAGACGGACGACGTGGAAACTTTAATTTGCTTCGCTTCTTCTTTCCTCAATTGTAAACTGCTTCCTTCCTTCCATTGCTTTCTTTATTCTGCTCAAACCTACAACGTAACATGAGCATTAATTATCAAGCGAAAAAAGTTAATACAGTTTATTTAATTTTGTCCTCCCTAGCTAATATAGTAAAGGTATCTGAAGAATTCGTATTATAATAAGTAAAAGACATGATGTGAAAATAGCAAACAAGTCGGCATGATATGGTTTTATTTTTAAAAAAATGACAGACTTCAAAATTTTGAAACCCTTTTTTAACTATGGAGTGCGTAGCTATCACGCTATCTAATATAATTACTAAATACGTTAAATGAGTTTTTCCACACAAATCAAGCCTTAAGATATTGGGAAAAAAAAGCTAATAATTAACAAATGAAAGAAAGGCGAAAGAAAGTTACAGTGAGATGCTAGCAATGGCCATGCAAACCACTAACTAATAGTGGTAAGGAGGGGGTGGCGAAGCATAGACATAGGGCTTGTGAGGAGGAGAATAAACAGGGGTTGGAGGAGGAGGAGAGGAGTACTTGTAAGGCTTCTTGGGTGGTGGTGGAGGAGATGAGTAGTGGTACGGAGCCTTGGGCGGTGGTGGAGAGTGGACTGGAGGCGGTGGAGACGGGTAATGGTAGGGATGCTTAGGGGGACTGTAAACTGGTGGCGGGGAGAGGAATAATGGTAGGGCTTCTTTGGAGGAGGAGGAGAAGGATAATGGTAAGGATGCTTAGGAGGAGAGTAAACTGGAGGTGGAGGAGAAGGATAGTGGTATGGAGGTGGTGGCGAAGGTAGTGATAAGGATGCTTAGGAGGAGAGTAAGTCGGTGGCGGAGGAGAGGCATAGTGATAAGGCTTCTTCGGGGGTGGTGGTGGTGATGGATAATGGTAGGGTTTCTTAGGGGGAGAGTAAGTTGGTGGTGGTGGAGAAGCATAATGATAAGGCTTCTTTGGAGGAGGTGGTGACGGATAATGGTAGGGTTTTTTAGGAGGAGAGTAAGTTGGTGGTGGCGGCGAAGGATAGTGGTAAGGTGGTGGAGGAGAGTAAGTCGGCGGTGGAGGTGAAGCATAGTGATAAGGCTTCTGGAGGTGGTGGCGGTGACGAGTAATGGTAGGGCTTCTTAGGGGGAGAATAAGTTGGTGGTGGTGGAGAGGATAATGATAAGGATGTTGGGAGGAGAGTAAGTCGGCGGCGGCGGGGAAGCATAATGATATGGCTTCTTCGGAGGAGTGGTGGTGACGGGTAGTGGTAGGGTTTCTTAGGGGGAGAGTGAGTTGGTGGCGGAGGAGAAGCATAATGATAGGGAGCTTGGGAGGCGGCGGCGAGAACACCGGAGGCGGAGGAGACGAGTAGTGGTAAGGAGGTGGAGGAGATGAGTAAACGTAGTCAGCAGAGATTTGAAAGGGCAAGCAAAAGAGACAGTAAAACCAGAACAAGGCTGAGAGAAGCCATTGGGAAACCCATTTTGGCCTTTCAAATGGGTCTGGTTTGTGGTTTTTAAGAGAACAAGAGCATCGCTTTATATAGCTTTTCTTTTTACCCACTCCAACCCCAATTCACTCAGGAATTAATTAATAATCATCTTGCTAATTAAATTCACTTTGAACAAGTAAAAAACCAGTAATAACTTGTTTCGAAGAATATACACATCATTGAGTTGGTTGGACCATTGCGATCCCAATGGCTGTTTCTTTTTTCAGATATAGTGGTGTGCAAGCTCAGCAGGCCACATAAAGCAGTTATCAATGTTGACCCTACTATTACTTTGCATACGAAGAATCGAAAATAAAGGACAAAAAATTTCAATTTTTTACTCATTTGGCTTTGGTATCATTTTAGCTAATAATTCAATATTCCTCCGCAAAGTCTTATTCTTCGATATCTAAACTGATTTGTATTCACATTGTGCTTTCTTCTATCCACCGAGGCTGGTTGCTATAACTTGGTCTGATTTTTGGGTATGATATTAGAAACTTGCAAGACTTTTCTTGTATAGCCTAATCTCTCTCTCTCTCTGTCTCGATATATATATATATATATTATATATATGCACACACCGACACCGTCAAGAAATAGTTTTCTTTTAGCATAATGAAGCCCTTCAGAATAAAGAGAGGACGATCTTGCAGTGGCATGAACTCGTTTTACTTTTTTCTTAACTTTCTCGAAGCACATATTAATGTTCTTTTAATTCCTGTTGCTCTAGCAGTTCTTTAGACATCTTAATAATAATTTACCCAATTAATAATGCAAAGATCTGGAGGATTAATGAAATTTATAAACAAGTAGGAAAACGGATTACAGATGCATGTGAATAAACCAGATGCCCACCGGCATCACCAGCCAGGAGATCTTTAATTAACTCATATAATATTGCAAATATTCAAATATGTTTCCTGCTTAAATTAATCACCAAGAATAGGTTTGCATCTGGGCCGGACAATATAATTTAATGAAAACTATTACTTTTCTTATCTGTAGAAGATTTTGATTAACGATATCCTCCTGGAGCTAGTTTACAGGATTGGAAATAATGGTTATTTATGCATAAAACATTCTTTTCACGAAAATCCTACTTGCTCTTCAAGTTAAATAAAGCACGAAGTAATATTATTTTGTTACGGAGTACGATTCAACATAACCAGCTAGCTAGCTAGCTAGCTATTAGCTATTTGATGACGACGTTTTTGTTATAAAATAATAAGCTGCTTAATTTTGACCAAGGCCTATTTTTTATAATATCCAAATTTTTAAACCGGATATAAATAGATAAATAATATGTCAAAGTGAGCCTGATTTAATAAATATAATAACAGCCGTAATTGTACTTCTCTTACAGTTAATCACATATGATTATTTTAAATGCAAAACTTTTTAACTAATTTTATTCCTTTGTCAAGCTGAACAGACGTTTTTAAAAAAAAAAAAGGCCAAAAAGCTTCACAATATCAAGTATCACACCTTAAAGATTCCTCCGAGGCAAATATATGTTTATACGAAGGAATGACCAGTCAATATAACGTATATATGTAAACAAAATTTCACTATTTCTATTAATTAATGTTCAGTTACTAGTAAAATTACTTTAAGAAATGCAAGAAGTTTGATATATTTTTTCAAATATGTGCTCATTCATAAAAAGAAAACGAATAGTCTTATGCACTGCTCGGGAGAGTTTTACAGTGAAGAAAAAGATCTACCGAACCCTCGGATTATCCCGAAGGAATACATTTAACCTAAGAGAAAAAGAATATACAAATGAGGTTCGGTGAAAAAAAGTAAAAATATGTAAAAATTTAAAACAGATCGGTATATGGAGCCAGGCTTCACCAGAGATTTTTGCCTTGATGGTAATTTGGTTTATTGTTGCTGTCGTTTTTTACCCTCTGGTCACTATAATAATTAATGACCCTGTGGTCTCCTCTGCTTGTGGGACACAATGGTCAGACCATCCTCTCACGTGCCTCTGATCATTCTTCTCTCAGCTTATAGGAGGAGTAGGTGATGACCAATCCAATCCTATCTCATCTTCTGTCTTCATTTCTCTAAACTGAAAACGACACCAACACACACACACACACACACACACACACACACACACACACACACACACACACAGACTTCAATTTTCTTTCCATTTGTATTAATTCAGGATAATAACTCTTCGAAATGCATAATTTAAATGAGATAAAACGAGTAAAAAAAGATTTCAATTACAAAGAGCTGTATCCAAGAAGAATGTGTGACGGATATACTATACATAATAACAAGAGAACTGGGTCTCCTATAATTCAAGCCCTTTATGGAGCCACTTTCACCAGGCTAGTCTAAAACTGAGGCTAATTAATAGGTATTAGATCTACCAATTAGTTGCTCGCTTCATGCAATGTGTATTAATTGCATGTTGCGTGAAATCTATGATGAAAGCCATGGTTGGCTCAATTATCTAAATTTAATGAACAAGCCCCTTTTATTAATAATTTTTAGTGTACGTCATCCTTGTCAACAACAGGCAGGCAGAATAATAGTTCTTATTTGTATTTATATAATACAAACATTAAAGACCATCGAGTAATCATAATTATATTGAAATTTAATTTATTAATACAAGAGAAGAAGGTAATATGTGTGTGTGTGTGTAAGAAAGAAAATCATGATTTGAAATCCGGAGGGTTGGTGGCATGAGCGTTCTGAATCATAGCTTGAATAAAAAAAAGAAGGGAATAGTAGCTAGACCCCACAAAAGGCCACGCATTTTAAGGTTTGAATTGGCTTTTACCAAATGAATTTTAAGAAAATGTCTCTGCAAATTAATTAAGTCGTCGATGACATTGGTGTACGAATAATGACCTATATTTGTATATAAGCAATTTGCGACAATCGATTCTACCGACTTCATTATTATATTATTGCCAACTTGTATTGGAATATACATTCATAATCCACATTTATTAAGTGGTCAATATAAAAAATAAAAATATATATTTATGTTGAACGATTAAAGGACCAAAAAACCGAGTCTTTTTTAAATAATTCTAATCAATAATTTGTACCTTATGATATGATTTTCTTGTTTGAATTACTTTGGTCTTCAGCTCTTGAGAATAATTGAAGAATGAATTTAAGATCTCTTACCCTAAATTCATTTGATTAACTATAATTTTGTCTCCGAAGTTAAATGAAAACTCATTTGTTCTATTTATGCATTGGTTAATAAAGAGGAAAATAATCATCGATTTACAATTGTATTCAATTATATGCATACAACAAATAAGAGAACGACAGAATAAAATGAGATTTATAAATATCATATTTCATATTTCCGCATGTGAAAAGAAGTACGAATATCTTCATAGCACGCTTTTATATTTATGTGTCCTGATGAGCATGAGAAGAATTTGAGAGATTAAAAAATGTGAAGTCAAGAGAGCTAGTTGAGAGATTTCAACAGTGAGATGGCTGTGGAAAGCAAAAAATACCTAAACTCCTACTACTTTACCCCAATCTATATGCTTTTTTTTAGAATAAGGAAAGGTCAATGTTCTGCTCTGCCCATCGTATATGCTCTCGTCTTGACCAAATTAGCAACTCCAAAGGACAGTTTGACTCACCTTTTTGAAGAAATTAAATTAATTTTCATTACAAAAATCCCACGGTTAGGTATACAAGAAAACAAGTTCGTTTTGATTGCTCATGTATAAGTTATATAAATTAATTTCCTTCTCACTCCAAACGATCCAATAAAACTGCCCCCGGCTGCCATCCACGCGTGCTCCTGATTAAAATCCTGCCTAATTTGCGCCAATCTTAACCGTCCGTGCTGAGAAAACTAAGCCGTCGGTTAGCCCCATAAATCTCTTGTACGGCTGGGTAGGGCGAACAGGTTTTCCATTGTGAGAGCCTAAGGCAAACAGTGCGAATGTGGACCGGCCCACTTTGAGCATGAGAGAATCTGGTTACTGTTCCAAATGTGCTGGAGGCTTGTTAATATCTCATTTTTATCCCAAAAGGCATGAGCACTGACATCCTTGGTTCATTTCAACATATATCACAGATGGATTTTATGAGGAGGACAGGTCTGAGGAGCTACAGAAGTGATTTCTGGTTTCTTTGCATTCCAAGGCTGTCGGTGCCAAGCATTATCAGTCTCTTCTGCCCAAGTGGTAAAAACATGGTTTTAAAAATAATTTTATAATAGATAAGTATGTGAGAATAGTTTGTTTATATTTTTAAATTAGGCTAAACACTCCAAATGGATCTTGGGAAAAAGTTAACTGTAAATAAATAAGATTAATTTACCTGTATCATCAAACACCGAACAAGATTTCTTTAAAATTTAAACATTTAGTTATCAATATATTTAACTAACATCACAACCAGATGCATCGTATACGTAGGACCACAATAATGTGTATTGTTCCTACTCTTAATCCGTTTCTCTGGTTGCATGAATTATAGGACAGTTCACAATATTAAGTGGCCATCACTAATTAGAATACTACCATTAGACAAAAGTCCAATGAATCTCGAACCCCAAAAAAAAAAGCGAAAAAGAAAGACTGGCAATTGCCACAGTTTTGTTCCTTTCTTTCCCATCAAATTCCGCTGCTTGGTTTCCACAGTGATATGTCCTACCATGTTGGGTGCAGACATAAGGAAATAGATTATCTTGTTTCGTAGCAAGAAAACGAATGTGATTGCAAATTAAATTGGACCGCTCAATTGAGGAAAATATCAAAGTCACAGTAGTGTCAAAAGGGCCCGCGCAACTCCTTCAACGAATCAGATGAACAGAGCATTATCCCATACTCTTCTGCTGCACATACATAGCGTGCTTCCAAATATATATATATATATTTATATATGCGCACGCACACACTTCATTTGCTTCTTAATCACACTACAAATTAGATTTTATATTGAGAATGAGAGATAGTACCGTTTATTACATATGTTGCATCATGGCTAATATTTTGGGTTCATTTACAATTTGAAATTCAGGTTTAACTTTCAGAAGCTGAACTACCGCAATTACGCGCACAGAAGTAAAGATATGCGGATTTTTTTCCTTTTGAAATGACACATAGGAAAAATTGATTGATGAAACCAGCAGTTATTAAATCTAAATTATTGTGGGTTTTGATCTCAATTAGATTTGATTCATGCCATTAATTTAAAGATGGGCCCACGATTTAAAAATCGCAATTCAATCTCATTAATTAATGAAGTGCCTATTACTACCTCCGATCCTAATGATAAGGTTTTATTTGTAGTCTACAAAAAAGTCTTATAAATATAATCAAAGGGAGGTAGTATTTTATTTGAAAAGCTATAACGATGAGAAAATTAAACTAAGGGTGGGTTTATGGGTTTTTGGTGAATAGTAGAAAGGAAAAATTATCAAGATGTTTCAAGAAAAAAATTTAATCATCAGAAAATTTCAATGACAAGTAATAAACCTGAATCTGTTATCATTTTTCACTCTAAAACTTGTCATTACTTATTTTACTTGTTAATAAATTTTAAAGCAATTAAATCTTATTCTTGATGTCTTAATAAAGTCTGGACATTTAAAGGGATCCACCGACTTTTCAGTCAACAGTGCATGCATGCAATGTCGTACCATTGATATTGAAGTAACAGAAGGCAGTACATATGGGGACCATATATATATAAAAGCACAACGTGCCTTACAGCTTACAATTTTCTAAATACACTACCCACTCCAACCAGAAAGAGACAGGGAAACTAGGTAAATTAACTCTTAACATATATAGCGTTATGTTCTCTTAAAGACAAAATGCGGGAAACTTTGCCTCCATTGTGTTGATCCTTCGTTTGTGGATTTTATGCTTCCTTCATTCCGTCGCTTTTTTTATTTCTCTCAATACATATTCTTCAAACCCTGCAAAGTTAAACATGAAAATTATAGCTCTGTTAGCTAGTCCATCCCATCTGTATATCGATCCCTCAATCATGTAATTAATTATTAATATAACTAATCATAATACCAAGAAGAATAATAATTAGCAAAAAAATGACTCAAAACAAATTAAGTTTAAAAGCATTTTTTTTCAATTCTTAATAATTCAGAAAAGGGCAAATTTTACATGAAACCTATTTTTGCTCTCTTACACAATGACGGCACCTAAAGAAATTTTTAATGAATAACTGATTAAAATTGTAAGCAAAACACATAAATTGAAGTTTTGAAATGTTTATTTTTATCATAAGCAATGGCTATCCCAGTGTCAGTATGTACGTTCATTACTACAATAGTAAGCTTGCAATCTCACTCATTTGTGAAGTGTGGCGTACATTGCGAAGTTTTGCCTAGTATGCTAAATTCAAAGGAAAAAAAAAGCTACTTTCTCTTATAAAGAGGAAGAGAAGCTTACATAAAGATTCTAGCTATGCAAAGACATTCTTTAGTTGTGGTAGGGAGGGGGTGGTGAAGCATAGACATAGGGCGTGTGAGGCGGCGGGACAGGTGTCTTAGGAGGATACCCTTTCATTGGCGGAGGAGGAGATGGATAATGGTAAGGAGCCTTTGGTGGTGCTGGGGAGCGGTGGTGGTGGTGGTAGTGATGGTGGTGGGGGGAAGGTGTCTTAGGTGGGTACCCACTCTTCTTAGGAGGTGGTGGAGGAGAGGGATAATGATAAGGAGCTTTTGGTGGAGGGTAGACTGGAGGTGACGGAGATGGGTAATGCTTGGGAGGAGGGTAGACTGGTGGTGACGGAGAAGGGTAATGCTTGGGAGGAGGGTAGACTGGTGGTGATGGAGTAGGATAACCACTCTTCTTAGGAGGTGGAGGAGGGGATGGATAATGGTAAGGAGCTTTTGGTGGAGAGTAGACTGGAGGTGATGGGGAAGGATAATGCTTTGGAGGAGAGTAGACTGGTCGCGAGGGAGAAGGGTGATGCTTGGGAGGAGAGTAGACTGGTCGCGAGGGAGAAGGGTGATGCTTGGGAGGAGAGTAGACGGGTCGCGAGGGAGAAGGGTGATGCTTGGGAGGAGAGTAGACGGGTCGCGAGGGAGAAGGGTAATGCTTGGGAGGAGAGTAGACCGGAGGCGATGGAGAAGGGTAACCCTTAGGAGGAGAGTAGACCGGAGGCGAGGGAGAAGGGTAATGCTTGGGAGGAGAGTAGACCGGAGGTGATGGAGAAGGGTAACCCTTAGGAGGAGAGTAGACCGGAGGAGATGGAGAAGGGTAACCCTTAGGAGGAGAGTAGACCGGAGGTGATGGAGAAGGGTAACCCCCCTTAGGAGGAGAGTAGACCGGAGGCGAGGGAGAAGGGTAATGCTTGGGAGGAGAGTAGACCGGAGGAGATGGAGAAGGGTAACCCCCCTTAGGAGGAGAGTAGACCGGAGGTGATGGAGAAGGTAACCCTTAGGAGGAGAGTAGACCGGAGGTGATGGAGAAGGGTAACCCCCCTTAGGAGGAGAGTAGACCGGAGGCGAGGGAGAAGGGTAATGCTTGGGAGGAGAGTAGACCGGAGGAGATGGAGAAGGGTAACCCTTAGGAGGAGAGTAGACCGGAGGAGATGGAGAAGGGTAACCCCCCTTAGGAGGAGAGTAGACCGGAGGTGATGGAGAAGGGTAGCCCTTAGGAGGAGAGTAGACCGGAGGAGATGGGGAAGGACCCTTGGGAGGAGAGTAAGACGGAGGTGATGGGGAAGGACCCTTGGGAGGAGTGTAAGTCGGAGGAGATGGGGAAGGACCCTTGGGAGGAGTGTAAGACGGAGGTGATGGGGAAGGACCCTTGGGAGGAGTGTAAGACGGAGGAGATGGGGAAGGACCCTTGGGAGGGGAGTAAGAAGGAGGAGATGGGGAAGGACTCTTGGGAGGGGTGTAAGCCGGAGGTGATGGGGAAGGACCCTTGGGAGGGGTGTAAGACGGAGGTGATGGGGAAGGATGCTTGGGAGGAGAGTAAGAAGGAGGAGATGGGGAAGGACCCTTGGGAGGAGAGTAAGACGGAGGAGATGGGGAAGGACCCTTGGGAGGAGAGTAAATCGGAGGAGATGGGGAAGGAGGTGAGTAAATCGGTGATGGTGGGGATGGAGAATGGTAGGGAGGAGACACCGGAGGATATTTCTTGGGAGGTGGAGGAGAAGAGTACATGTAGTGATCAGCACAAATTTGAGAAGGGAAGGTAAGAGAAAGTAAAGTCAATACAAGGGTGAGAGAGGCCATTAGGGACCCCATTGTGTTAAGTTGTTATGGGCTGTGATCTATGGAGCAAGAGCTTCCCTTCTTATAGCTTCTTTGTTTACCCTTTTCACCCCACAAAAATTCACTAGTAAAAGTTATTACCTTGTCTTGATCAATGTCCTTACATTATTGAATAATGAACATCGATTTTTTTTTTTTCATATGAAAGAGCAGTCATTGATTGATTTGTTGGGACATTGGGATCCAAAGTGGGGTTGGAAACGCGGATTTATATTTTGAAAAGAAGGTGCAAGCAAAGCTGGGAATAAATTATAATATCTCTGTTTACTTTGTAGAAGGAAAAAACAAGACAATATTTTAATTTTTTAAGTCTTTTGATTTTGGAATTGAAATATTCAAGCACAAAAGCCTTCTTTGTTACATTAAATGGTTAATTTTTATTTTTGTCGTTTCTTCAATAGATCTCTCTCGTAAATGAACAAAAGCCTGCATGATTTAAAATTATTAGTTTTTTTTTATCATTATTATGGCCATAGTAACTAGTAAGGACTAAGGAGGAGGACCGGGAGGAAGAAGCAACATTGTCATGCAACTGTCGGTGATTTTTTTCCCTTAGATAATTAACAAAGAAGAACTGTACGGAATCTATGGACAAGGTGAATTAAGGGGAAGCTAATTAAGCATGATTAATGTAATAAGCTTTGCACCGGGGAGATCTTATCAATTTAGAATATGATAATATTATATATATATATTATATAATAAAGCATTATGTTCTTGAATCATGATGCTCCATAATATAATGAATCAGTTTTTAAACAGATCATTTAAAATATGCGGGGTAACTTTGTTGTCTGAACAATCATATACATGTTGGGTCCTATATTTTACATAACGTAATTCCCGGCAGAAGATTTGGAAATCGAATTTCCTCATAACTTTAGTTAACAGAATGATGATAATTTAAATACATATCACTTAATCACTCTATTCATCAAAATCTATTTGGTTTTCCAGACATAATAAACACATTAAGTTAATGATGCACACAAAATCTATATATATTTGGGCCAGCTACAAAATCTATAATATAATATAATTTTAAAAACATTATTTATAAACTATAAACAGTAAATACTATGCCTCCGGTCCTGAATGTAAGACCCTTATACACACTAGTATAATGGTCTTACATTTAGGATCGGAGGAGTATAATATATTAAATTTAGTGCAAAATAGGTGCCATAATCTAGTTTTCACATAAGCTATTGCTATATAGACAATTGATAAGTTGACAATCAATAGCAATTAGCTTCACCACAAAGGAAAAAAAAATTCATTTGCTTTTTGCTATTTAATGTCATAAAAAATTTTTTTGGTGAAGGCTTAGGGACGATCAATTTCCACGAAATCAAGCTTTTCGTTAAAACTTTTGTAGTTGTCATTAAAATCCAAACTTTGAACAGCAAGTTTGTTGTTTCAGGCCGAAAAAGCTAGTTTGTGACAAAGTATGACTCCACATGTACAAACTAGGTGATGGCTAGAAAAAGAGAAAACAATTTCCTAGCCATTATTTTTTAAAATTGAAGTTATTATTATTTGTACGAAATAACGATTTTGATGATAAATGCTCATTAGTCGGTGGTTCAATCAAATAATGATATTTTTGATACCACTAACTCTCACGTGCCATCTCTAACAGTATTCTTCGTTATAACTTGTGGCAGGTGTCGGTGATGAAAATATGTTTTGAGAGACTAAAATATTTCTGCAAAAATAAAAAAATTTAAAACATATAGTTTTTAAAAAATTATACTAATTTTAAAAAGTGATATATAATTATTTTAAAGTTTAAAACTAGTATCATTTGATGTGATTTAATTAGTATTAGTTTTTGAAGCCATTACGAAAGCTACATTAAAGTTTCTATTTATCTATATATTGTAATCATACTTTCTTAAATTCAGTATCAACTTTGCCGAAAAACCGTTTTTTTTTTAAATTACACTTGCTTTCAATTATTGATGTGATTTGAAAACCGGTGGGGTCGTATTAGTTAGCATGCGCATTTTGAAATACGATAAATGGCATCAATCAAAGTGTCTTATAAGAATGCTGTAGAATCTGCACAATAAAGTTTTGAATTCTATTTTACACATCCAATGTCTATATATAACTAATTGACCAATTGTGAAATGATGATCAAACAAATTAAATTAAGAAAAAAATTAATCTTCTCCATAGTTTTTCCATGATTACAACTCAATTTTCATATTATGATTCAGTATAGCTCAGTTTTTATAGTTTTGATTTAATTATAATATAATATTTAAACTTTGACTTACTGTAACTCAATCCCTATAGATTTAATTATGTTATAATTTAAAAAATAAAATCATATCTAATAAAAGTATGGACTAAATTATAAAATGTTTAAAATTATATGGACTAAGTTGTAGGAAGTTAAAAGTTTAAAACCATAAGAACAAAAGATAAAAAAAAAAAAAACTAATTAATCATGATGAATATCAACAAGCTAATTACGCCATATAGTATATTATATGGTCCTTTGAGTTAGATAAGTGCTCGACCATCTAGAGTACAAAAAGCATCATAGGACTCAATTTCACGAGCGCCTTTTTACTATTTTGCCAGCCTGTAATTCATTATATATTTACAACATACCTTTTTAACCTGGTCCACATGAAAATTAGAGGACACTTCATCACATGTCCTTTTCCTTTTAATTTATTGATTATAATGAGAAACTTTTTTTATTTAAATTTATATTCAGTATAATGATGCGAACAAATACAAAATTTGACTATATGATAACAACTCTTTTCTACAATTCAACATGTCGGTATCTAACATTATGATCTAATTTGAATGGCTTATGCTGTTTTCCTGCTCTAGTTATAATATTTTAAATAGATCTCAAAAGATAAGAGTTAAATTACCATGCTTTTTTTTTTTAACTATCTAGTTATAATCTTTTAATATTTCAAGAGAATAACGAAATTATAATATTGAATACTAGAAGTGAAAATAGTGTTTTTCTGTATGGAATATTTTAGTGGACAATAGGCCATGCGTTAAGTAGTTTAAGAATCAAAATCACATCTGGGATTATAGTGGATATTAAAATAATTAATAAGGCCATCGTTAAATGACAATGTCACTTTTGTCTGTCAAATCATTGCAATCCGCCAAGGCCCATAGTTCTTTAGGATAATTGTAATCAATTAATGACCCATTAGCGAATTTCATTATTTATTATGTAAGTTAAGTAAGGGATCAATTCTTTATTTACTCATCAAAAATAATAATTAGCGAACAATTTTGTAAAATTAATTTTCTGTGAAAGCAGCACACATTTTTTGGATTTCGGATCTCTACGGGATGATACCTTGTAATTATGAGAATCATAAAATAGCATTCCTCCCTCTCTTTTTTTCACTCACACATGTATAGTGAGAGATTATATTATGAGCATCATATCCGGATGTCTCACAAGGATTGTGTAATTTACAAGTTAAGGGGATTCTCCTTCCATTAAGTTAATCTTTTAGTATTAGACTCACTTTTTAAATTTGAATTCGTAACAAAATTACTTTCATCAGCTGGGAAACTAATGTTCACCAAAATAATTACTCATATCAGCTCTTAAAAATGTGCATTGTTATGAGACATGTATTGTTAACAATTTGAGACATCAACATGAGAAAAAAACAAACATCGCCTTATTAGTAAGTCAAATAAAAAAGAATTTAATCACCTCAATGTTAAATATGTAGCTGAGCTGAGAGGAGATTATACTAACTTATCCAGTAGTCTCAAATCTAAGGCTTAAAAAAAAAACTTTTATTGTCAAAAGAATCAAAGAATCGGATAGGGATGGTACTACACATTTCATGATGATGATCATGTGAGGGAGAGGAAGGAGGGGAAAAGCGAAAGAGCTGAGTGCCGACACAGAGAAAGGGCCGGGGAGAGGGAGTGAAGATTCTAGGGGAGACCAGAACCTAACATGATCGATATAAGAAGATGGACGGCTATAATCTCATCAATCACAAATTACATGAAATTTCTCCTTAAAAAAATAATTTGAAAATTTGAAAATTTATATTTTTTTGGTCATTATTTAAATACTAAAAGACTTCATTGACGCGTACTCATAGATGTGTTCAATTAAGACGAGAATTACGTATAGGTCCAATCACAAAGCATAGTTTGGTCCCTTTTCTTCTGAAACAAAATGAATGTTTACTGTTTTACTTTCACTTTTTCGTTTTCGATTTCAAAACTATCAATTTTCAATGTCTTTTTTAATTGAGTGTTGCCTTTAGTCCTTTACTAGCCATATCATTTTCTTAATTTATTCTTTTTAAAGAAAAATTACGTGGGTCTTCATGTACTATGAGTCATCCAATTCACAATTTATAAACAACATCATGATCTGATATTAATTTTCTATTTTACATTAATTATATTAACTAAATTGATTGTATCGATTTTTTCAGAATTATATGGATTATATTAATAATTTGAATGCTCATCAATCCTCATGCAATTAATTGATACTCTTGTGATCCACATATATATATATAAATATAAAATAAATCACGCGATTCAATTATAAAGATAAACTAACTCGTTGATTTTTTTTTTTACCAGACCTGTTGATCTTCAAATCCGTAGCAATGAAAAAAAAAACATCTACTTGCATACATGACTTATTTTCGGAGTATTTGCAATTTTTATTTTTTAAAAAATATTAATTATTTATTATTATTATCTCCTGTCCTAATTATAAAATCTTGTTTGTAATTTATAAATAAAATCTTATAATTAGGATTCAGAGAGTATTATGATGATATTCGTTAGGTTGGATCAGATCGTACAAGGCCGAATTTGACTTTGGAGCCTAATTTTGAAGTATCTGTTCCATAATTGGGACATCTGAATAACCAAATAAAGCCATCGAACCAAAGGCTACCTTGTCTTTATCTGAGAAATTATTTTAGTTAAAG